GGCACGTCAATTGGCACGTTCCGTAGCACGTCCCCTTGGCACGTCCCGCGGTGCGTGCCCATGGCACGTCTCCTGGCACGTCGCCTGGCGCGTCCCTCGGGACGTTCCGCGGCGCGTCCTCTTGGCATGTTCGCTCTGTCGATTAGTTCTGGGGCAGCTACCATCTGCTCAGGCAGCTCGAGCTTACGCTCCAGATCAGTTCGGTGAGGACTCGAATGCCAGGGAGGACTCGATCCACAACGCTATATAGAGCACAATCGCGGCATGGCACAACGCAGTTCAGCACGGCGTAGCACAGCACAGCCCTCGGCACAGTACATCATCATCGATACATTCAGCATTGAATGTGCCCGTCGCCCAATCAGGTGTCTTTGAAACGTTGCAATGCCTTATATTTCTATATTCCTTTCCGGGTTCGTGGGTCGGCCACCCAGAAAGACTGCCCAGACCCGGTTCCAAAAGGTTTTTCCAGTCTAGACGGCTCCAAGACGGCCCAAGATGGCGTCCAAGAGGCCCAATATGGCCTCCAAGATGGCTAAGATGGCCCCAAGATGCCTCCAAGACGGCCCGAGATGGCCTCAAGATGGCCTAAGACGGCCCAGGAGGCCCCCAAGAGGCCTCCAAGACAGCCCAAGAGGCCTCCAAGAGGTCCTCCTGGCGGGCCCGAGGAGGGCAAAATCATTGATTGTCCTTAGCTTGTTGAAAGATGTTTGACATTTGCTTCTTTTCGGCATTCCGACTCCCAAGACGGCCCAGGAGGCCCCCAAGATCGCCCCAAGATCGCCCACGAGGCCTCCAAGATGGCCCCATGACGGCCCAAGGGGCTCCCAAGATGCTCCCAAGAGGGTCCCAAGACCGCCCGAGAGGCCTCCAAGACGCCCAAGATGGCATCCAAGACTGCTAAGATGGCCCCAAGATGCCTCCAAGACGGCCCAAGATGCACCCAAGACTGCCTAAGATGGCCTCGAGATGGCCCAAGACGGCCCAAGAGGCCCCCAAGAGGCCTCCAAGGCGGCCCAAAAGGCGTCCAGGAGATCTTCCAGGAGGGCCCGAGGAGGGCAAAATCATTGATTGTCGTTAGGTTGTTGAAGGATTTTTGACATTTGCTCTTTCTCGGCACTCCGACGGCCCAAGACGGCCCAAGGGGCCCCCAAGATTGCCCACGAGGCCTCCAAGATAGCCCCATGACGGCTCAAAAGGCCCCCAAGACGGCCTCAAGAGGGCCCCCAAACGGCCCAAGAGGCCTCCAAGGCGCCTAAGATGGCCTCTAAGAACCCCTGATCTGCTCCAAGAGGGCCCCAAGACGGCTTCCGACAGCGTCAGACAAGTCAGGAACGCCCTACGACGGCCAAAGAGGCCTCCAAGAAGCTCCCAAAGGCCCCCCCAAACTCTCCAAGAGGCCCCCAGGAAGCTCCCAGGAGGCCCCAAGAGTGCCCCAAGAGGCGTCCAAGAGGCCTCCTCCTCCTCCTCCTCCTCCTCCTCCTCCTCCTCTGTTTTTCCTCATCCTCGCCCTCCTCTTCTTGCTCCCCCACGCGTTCCTCGAAGTCTTTCCAAACCGACTCGGGGAACAACTGGCCCGATAGCGTGGCCACACTCTGGCCCAGCTGTCGGCCACAGAGGCGCTTCCAATAAGGCCGGGGGCGACGGTGATTTGCCGTAGGCGTCTTCGATCCGTCGCTTGCTTCAGCTGTATCCGAGATGTGCCTGGCGTGCCAGACTCTTGAATGTTCCAAGCGCTTTCTAATGTTCCCAATGGCGACCAGTCCAGCGAAGTCCACAACAAGCCTACCCCAGCCGGCCAAGATGGCCCAAGATGGACTCGGAGGCGGCCAATATGTCCGAAGATGGCCGCCAAGACAGTCCGAAGACGCCTTCAAAACGGCCAAGATAACCCTAAGACGGTCCACCAGCCCCCCAAGACGCCCCAAGAGGGCTCCAAGAGGATCCTCACGATGCCACAATCATTACCTCCATGCGGTCTTTCAATAATCCAAACGATCTGGCCTCTTCGGGCTTCCGACACTCCAAGACTACCGCATAGGTCCCAACCCCACACGGCCTGGCCCAAGAGGCCTCCAAGACGCCCAAGAGGGTTCCAAGATGATCTCCAGGAGGCCCAAATCATGACTCCCCTGCGGCCTTTTTATAATCTAAGCGATCTGGCCTCTTCGGGTTTCCGACACTCAAGACTGCCGCATAGACCCCAAAGATCGCCCCCACACGGCCTGGCCCAAGAGGCCCCCAAGACGCCCCAAGAGGGTTCCAAGATGTTCTCCAGGAGGCCCACGTCATGACTCCCCTGCGGTCTTTCAATCATCTAAGCGATCTGGCCTCTTCGGGCTTCCGACACTCCAAGACGGCCCTATCAGCCCCAAAGATCGCCCCCCCACACGGCCCGGCCCAAGAGGCTCCCAAGACGGCCCCACAGACCCTCAAGACGGCCCCGAAGCGTCCACAGGGGGACCCACGCCTGCCTAGAGAGGCCCCCCAAATGCCTCCAGAGGCTAAGAGGTCCCCTGAAGACTCCCAGAGGCCTCCAAGAAAGAGGCCCCCTCAAGGAACCTCAAAAGGCCCCGGCGAGACTCCCAAGCGGCTCCCAGGAAGTCCCCACGAAGCCACAAGAGGGCCTCAAGCGGCAGTATTTTCCTCCTCCTCCTCCTCCACCTCCTCCTCCTCCCCTCCTCTCCCTCGTCCTCCTCCTCCTCCCCCTCATCCTCAGTTCTCGTCCTCTTCCTCGTCCTCCTCCTCCTCCTCCTCCTCCTCCTCCTCCTCCTCCTTCCTCTCGTCCTCCTTTCTCGTCCTCTCCCTCGTCCTCTCCTCCTCCCTCTCGTCCTTATTTCTCGCCCTCCCCCCGCGGGGCTTCACGTCGGCTGGGGGAACCACGCGCGACGTCGGCCCCGCGTCTGGCCACACGGGCCGGGGGCCGGCGGTGGTTCGCAGCAGGATCAGCCCGCGGACTCACCGATGGCACGGCGGAGGCCAGTGCACAAGAAGCCTTCCACAGGAGACCGGACCCTGAGACCCCAGGACCTCGAGCGTCACGCCCAGGAGACCCCAGGACCTCGAGCAGCCCGCGGACTCACTGATGGCACGGTGGAGGCCAGTGCACAAGAAGCCTTCCACAGGAGACCGGACCCTGAGACCCCAGGACCTCCATAGATCTTGGGTGTTGGGAGCGTCGCGCCCTCCATCGCAAAAGAATCGCATCCCCAGAAATCTAGGGCACCCTGGAGGCAAGCAGGGTGTTTCTTGGCAGGCCTGGGCCTCCACCGTCAGGGCGGGGCTGTTGGTGTCCAGGGGGTCCCCAAGAGGCCCCCAGGCGGCCCGCAATCAGGCCCCCCCCCAGAACCCAAGAGGCCTCCCACGAGGCTGGGGGGGGGGGGGGGGGGCGAACTTGACATTTCGAGCCCCTCCGCCCCACGACGACCACCGACACCGCCAGCAGGCCCCCAGGAGGCCCCCAGGAAGCTCCCAAAAGACTCCCAGGAGGTCCGCAGGAGGCCCCCCCAAGAAGAGGCCCCCAAGAGGCCCTCTGGAGGCCCGCAGGAGGCCACCCAAGAGGCCCCCCAGGAAGCCCCCAAGGAGGCCCACAGGAGGCCCCCAGAGGCCGCCCCCAAGAGGCCACAAGAGACCCGCAAGAGCCCTACCGCGCGACCGAGGCACGTTGGCGGGATGAGCCGAAGGCCACAGATACCCTGGGCAGAAACATCCCTCGGGATTATTGAATCGCTTCGCTCATTCCGCCGGCCCGTGGGGGCCTCTTGGGGGCCTCTTAGGGCCTCCAAGAGGCCTCTAGGGAGCCTCTTAGAGCCTCTTGGGGGCCTCTTGGGGGCGTCTTGGGGGCCTCCTTCCTGGGGGCCTCTCAGGACCGAGGGCTCGAAATGTTGTTTCGTGCTCCCCCTCTGGGGCCGCTCTTGGGGCGCTCTAGGGGCCCTCTTGGGCCGTCTTGGAGGCCTCTTGGGCCGTCTGGGGGCTCTCTTGGGGGCCTCTTGGTCCCTCTTGGAGCGATCTTGGGGGCCTGTTGGGCCGTCTTGTGGCGTCGGGAAGCCGAAAAGGTGGAAACACCAACATCTGTCCAACACCTAAGGACAAGCAATGATTTTTGCATCTTGGGTCCCTCTTGAGAGTGCTCTTGGAGGCCTCTTAGGGCGTCTGGGGGCCATCTTGGGTGTCTTCGAGCGATCTTGTGGCATCTCGGACCCTTGGTGTACCATCTTGGGGGCCTCTTGGGCGCTCTTGGCTCTTCTTGGGACTCTCTCTTGGCCCTTCTTGGGACTCTCGGGGACGTCTCGGGGCCCTGTTGGTGCGCTCCTGGAGCGCTCTGGGGGCTTCTCCCGGGACCTTGCCGGGGTACTTTTCGTCCGGGGACCCCCAGAGGCCGCCCCGCGCGCGCGAACTAGAAATACTGTGAACCAGTTACCGGAGATCTTAGCACGCCTCTGGCCCGTTGGGCCGGCGAATTCATGATATGGTCGGGGTTGTGGGTATGCAGGAGGTCCTCTTTGCTCCTTGCGGCTGTGCACGCGCGATGGGAAATCCTGCGGTAAGATGTGCACGAACACTTTCGCTGTCCTCATCGAGCCCTCCTGGAGCGCCCCCCAAGACCGATGCGGGCCCCCAGGGCTTGGGTGAGATGGGACCCGTCCGTGGGGGCACCTGCTGGCACGCTGGGCTTCTTCTCGGGTGTGCCTGCTGTGCGCCCACACCGATCCTGGCAGTGCCCATGCTGGCCCCAGGATGGGGCTGGCCAGGATCGTTCTGGGCGAAGCGTCAGCCCAGACCTGCGACGTCGTGATCGTTCCAATTCCGCGGCTCCTGGCATAGTCTGCCCCTTCCCGCGGGCCAGATTCGTCATCCTGAGCCGTTTTCTGAAGACCCTGGGCCCCTGAAACGGCCCCGAGACTCCACTCTCGGCGGCCTCCAGGCGTGGAAAATTGCCCACGGCCGCCATCTAGATGTTTCAAGGCCTTGGGGGGGGGTTAACTGGCGCCCTCCGACGCCTTGTGCAGGGCCACCGTGATAGCCGCGCGGCACTCCGCCCTAGGCTGGCTCGCCTCCTCGGACTCCTCCAGGGCCGCCGCCAGCGCCCTGCTGCACTTCCCCTTGGCCTCGCCCTGCTCCGCAACCTCCGCGCTGGC